TGCTGCTGTCCTTGCCGACCAACCCTCCCCCACGACCTCTGCTGCTATCCTTGCCAACCGGACTACCACAACCACCCCCACCCCCACGTAGGTGATGGGGTCCTTCGACGACTACGTCATGACCCCGCACTCCAGCTTCAGCGAGCTCGGCGCGACCCTCTCCCACACCTGGCTACCGGACCCCGAAGCGGCACTCCGGACGCCCCCGAACCGCCCCATCGTGCCGCTCTTCCCGCAGACGAACGAGTTCGAGCGCCGGAAGGTGTTCTCCTTGCTGGACCGCCGGGCGGTGGAGATTTTCCCGAGCGATGGCGGGGAAGTTGTAGCCGCCGCGGGCGGCGCCGGTGCGGGCTCGAGTGGGAGAGGGATGTGCATGAGGGCGCACGCCGCGGGCATGAGCGTGACGGTGGCCATCGGGCGCCAGCTGCTGAGCATGTTCGAGGCGATCGAGGGAGCTCCTTGCATGAAGGGCAAGGAGACGACCGTGGCTGATTTATGACCCTTGAGATAGCGGGGGGTGGCGGCGGTCCATTTGCCGGTCGATTCGAAAAACCGAGGGGGCAGTATTTTTTCGATGCGGTGGGCCAGTGGGACTTCACTTAGTCGTGCGCGTGTACATAACGACGGGAGTGATTTCAAACGAAGCCCGTCAGTTCAGTTCACGGCGACCATGCCGTGCGCCTTGAATATTCTGGGTGCTGTTTTTGCTGTCGACCGTCATGATCGGTGCGTTCACTTCTTTGGTGCCTGTAGTACTGGGGCAGTTGCACAGCGAACCCTTTCCTAATGGGCCTATTTCGACATACGGCCGCTGGTGCCGTGAGCGTCTGGACTACACGACAGGCACAGCTACGGCACTGGGCAGCTCCCAGACATCGAGGATAATTCTTCACCCTGAAGAACATCCTCCTTTTGGATAACTCAGCTCACCACCCGGCTTTACGCCTTTTCGGCCTGGGTTCTCGTTGCAGTGGCAGCACCTTGTGGTTGCGATATCTTTGCTTGTCTCCAAGCGGCGACTACTGCTGTGTGAACTTTTGATACTCAACACATGGTGACCACCAACGGAGCAGCTAGCAGAGAATAGGAGACAGCCTTGCGAGTTTGGGTGACGAAGGTGGCTTGTTTTTTGTTTGGGAGATCTTCGTCGGGAAGGTGTGTTGCCTTCTTCTTGGCGTACGCTTTGTTTGCGGTATTGTTTCATGGTATGCACTTACCCTACGTGGGTTCTAACGAGGGCCCTTTGCGCGATGTGATCTCCTCGGCATGCAGCTCCATATACTTCAACTTCATGAATACGTGTTCGGTTGCTCCATCAGATTCAACTCCCTCCGAGTCTACCCGTTAGACCATGCCGTCTGTGTCGTCTAGCAGGTCACTTGTTGCAAACGATAATCTCCATTGGAGGGACACGTGCCGGACAGTTCTTTTCATCAAGACGGCGGTTGGTTGGGTAGTCTAGGACGCTACCTTGTGATACAGCTCAGCACTTGAGGAGCGGAGGGAAAAACCACACTCCTGTCAGCGGGGGAGGGGGCATACACTGTCGAAAGAACGACGCTGCTCGCAGCGGGCGGGATATTGATCACAGACGATGGCACTACGCTGTTTGCAGCGGGCGGGAAACCATACACCGTGGAAGGTACTATGCCGGCTGCAGCGGGCGGAAAATTCGACACGGGGGCATATCTGTGGGCGGTGTCACCAGAATGTACTACGCTGTTGGGAGCGGGCGGGAAACCAGAGACGGGGGTCGGCACAACGCTCGTCGGAGCGGATGGAAGCACGACACTGCTGACAGTGGGCGGGAACCTAGACACCGTTGGAGGTACTACACTGCCGGCGCTGGCGACAGTGGGCGGGAAACGAGAAAACGAGGAAGAGGGCATGTACGCTACACCTTGGGGAGAATGCTGCATGCGGGGGATTGCATGCATCGTTGCAACACCAGTCACACTCACAACGTCTGCAGAGCGAGGGGGAGGCGGAGGTAACGGTGTCACCACGGGCGCAGCAAGTGGCGTCGTGTAATCGGGCGGTAAACGAGTCGCTCTCAAGGAAGAACCACGCTCGCCACGGGGAAAAGTTAATCCACCGTCAAACAGGTGGATACCTATAGGATCCATTTCAATGCGTTGCCCTCCCATGGCCTTGTGAAGCGAAAACAAATTGTAACCCATTCCCTCAACGTGATACACGTTGGTGAGCTTCACGCAAAAATCGTTTCCACCATTGTGGAACTTGACGTTCAGGCTGCCGATACCAAGCACAGGCATCGTCCTACCATCGCCAATCACTACTCGCTCTCTACCAGGCGGAGGAATCATCACATCGTACATGCACCTCGGGTCACCGGTGGTGTGATTCGTGGCGCCTGAGTCTGCAAGCCAAGTTTCGTCTCCTACACTCTCATCAAGGACGTTCATCATTGCATATCCGTCGTCCCTTCGCTCTACTAGCACTCCATTTTCAGACTCACTTGGAAAAGCCCACACCACACACGCATGTAAATCCCCACCAGTCGATGGAGACGCTCCGGTCGAAGGCGCCGGAGGAGCGTACGGGTTGGAGATGGGCTGCTGCTGTTGCACGGGGGGGGGAAGGTACTCCGGCTGCTGCTGTTGGGGCGAGTAATGGTAAACGCCGCTCGCGTGCGTCACCGGATTTTGGTAAACGCCGCTCACGTGCGTCACCGCATGCGCCCCTGTAGATGGAGCTGTCGTCGCCACCGCCGTCGCTCCTGCTGCTCCTGGCGCTACCCCCGGGTAACCCTCTCCGCCGTATTGCTGCGCCGTATTTGCCTGCCCATACGAGTGTGCCCAAGGCGGCCGCTGGCTGTAACCACCGGCCGGCGGCCGGGGCGGCGGGTGCCTGGGCGGCGCGTTGCCTGCCGGCATGCCAGCTGGCCTTCCGACATCAACACGCGAAGGGCAGAACAGGTGGTTGTGGCCGAGTTCACCGCAGTTCTCACACCGCTTGCGAGGGTCATTCGGGTGGATGGGAGGTTCATTTCCCTGTGGGCGGTACATGTTGGGGGGGTAGGTGCTGTAGTCGTAGCCTTGCTGAGGTACAGGGTAGGCGGGGAGGTTGCTGCCGGGCGATCCCTGGTGAAAAGGGCCCCTGCCCCTCCCACCGGAAGCGGCGCCACGTCCCCCGAATCTTCCTCCTGCCGGCTGCTGCTGATGACGTCCTCCTCCAGAAAAGCCCCGGCCCCCATGCTGGGGCCCGTGCCTTCCGCCGTAGCTCGCACCTTGGCCGCCCGAGGGACCTCCCCAACCCCGCTGCAAGCGACATTCCTCGTTGCTGTGGGACGGGGAGTTGTGGAGGTCGCAATATTTTATTTCAGGCGGGTACGACGGCAGGTATACCTGTTGCTGCTGGTTGAAGTACGGCTGATGATGATGCTGTGGCTGCTGCGGTTGTTGCTTCTGTTCCCGCGCTGCCGTCCTCCGTTGTCCTCTCGTCTTCCCCGGTCCCCCCGTGTTCCCTCCCCCGCCACTACGGTTCTCACCGCCAGTGACGAGGGCATAAGCCCCCACGCTCTCCTGCTTCTTCTTCCTTCGCGCCTCCATCTCCGCCCAAGCATTCACTATAATCCGTTCTACTCTCTCCTTCTCTAGACCGCTCTCGGACATCAGAAAACCTGTGTAGACATCATATTCGGGGAGGAGGTTGCGCACAAGATGTCTGTTAGCATCATCCTCTGTAATTGTCACTCCGCAAGATGATAGCCTTTGCCTCAGCACCCACCCTCTCGACAGGTACTCTTTCGGGTGTTGTTGAACCCCTTGCGTCAACTCCTGCCACTCTAGCTGGAGGCTCGTCTTTTCTGTGTGGGCATGCACTTGAAAATGATTTCGAAATATTCGCCATGACTCCGTTGGGCAACCACTAGAGATGATTGCTGGTACGATCGATGCAACTTGAATCTTTGCCAGTATTAACTGCCAGGCCTTCATGGCCTTCTCTACGGCCTTCCTACCATACTCCTCCTTCAGTTTGGGAATGTCTGCATCCGACTTCCCCACCCTGATTGTCTCTTCTGATACTATTGCATTCAGGCAATCTTCTTGTTGCAACAGCATTCGAAATTGGCTCTCAAACACCTGTACTCTAACTTGAACATCGCCACTGGAATCTAACACACCCGTAAATGGGGCTACATGTATTACAGGACTGACACGGATGGTGTCCTTAGGGGTTACGACTTCCCTGGTTTCCTCCCCCGGGGTGTTGGTCCTTCGCATTGCCCGTGCGAACGAATCAACGAGACGGTCTTCCAACGATCGTGGCTGGTCTTCAGGTTGCGGGTTCAACGCTGTTCCAGCCGGCCGAGCATGCCGGGGATCGCCTCCATCGGGGGGCATGTCCACGCTCTCTGAAGCGGGACGCTTTTCTTCTTGTTCTTTCATCTTCTGTTGTACTTTCTTCTCCACCTCCTCTTTGATGTGCGCCGCCAATGCTTGGCGATCCTCCTCAGTATAGCTGCTGAGGTCGAGGGCTTCCTCCATAATCTACTTCTCTAGCCGACCCTTTTATAGCTAGCCTCACCTCGGGATCCCGTATGATATCAGCACGCTAGCGTGTTAGGATGATCCGAACTGGGGGTAGCTTGTCGCAAGACGTGTGTTGAATAGGGTGTCGGCAACTCGGCGAGCTCGCGCCAAGGAGGAAAGACGTGTAGGGTTTGTTGCATAAACTTCTTCTTCACATGAACTCACATGAACTTACATGAAACACATGAACTCACATGAACTTACATGAACTCACATGAACTTACATAAAAACACATGAACTGAACGCACGCGTGCACGCACCACCATGAGGGGGCGACGCAGTATACAACAAGGGTACGTTGCACATCCTGGAAATACATTCCACGTACCACACAATTCTACACCCACTTGGCATTGCTACAAGTATATCTATCACTCGCCCCCAACCAAATGCCGATGTTGGGACGCGGCAATGTTTTCATGTCTGCTGTCTGTCGTTCTGTCAGTCCCCACCCACCGTGTTTCCAAAGTGCAACAACGGCGGCGGCGGGTCCGCGCCAATCATTACCGCCAATAAAAAAATCCATCCTATGTACGTCGGCGATTGGTCCCCCTCCTTGCTTTCATTGCTTTCACCCGGAGGCTAGAGTCTCACCAGTACACACCCGACCATAGTTCAGTACAATGACATAGTTTTTCATTTGGTTGTTTACTCTTTCCATGCGAAATTGTTCTTGATTAGACCCACGCTACAACTAAAGACAAACATTTTCGATGGCGCCAGTCTAAGCAAGCGTGCTCGACTCCACAAAAGGACGCACCACGCGCGCGCGCACACACACGCAACGTTGTGCACTTGCCCGCATAACATGCTGGGACGACAAGCGGAAAAGCGGTTCACTTGCTTTGTCAGAAGAACCCTTTTGCGGCTCCCGAAAAGTATACGTGCGGGCCGGCCGTCTTGCAGACTTTTCGAGGAGAAACCTGGTTGGCTTTCGCCGTCCGTTCTTATAAGCGCCATTCGAACGAGCGGTGCAGCAGCGCAAGGCCCTTTAGGTCGGTCATGGGGTCGGATACAAAAAGACTGGTGTTGTGAAGGACACATCTGTAGGACGGGGCTCCCCAAATATTCAAAATATGGCGTTTCTTGGAAAACCAAGGAAACCGCCGTTTCCCGATTAACATGTGCACATCATTCGTCGATACTTATCCTGCTCTCTCAGGTCTTCTGGTTCAGTCGGCCTCGAATGCGGGAAAAGGGAATTGCAGCTTCGACCGCGTGGAGCCGCCATTGTCAATGGCATCATGGCGAAGGGCGACGTTGATGACCCCGAGGTGCGCCGCCTAGGTGCTCGTGTATTTGTTCAATATCTTATTCGAAAGCACGTTGTTGTTGGTGTTGAAGGGCTATTCCTACCGCCGCCGTCGTTACCAACACTACTGGTGCACTCGATTTGTAGGCCCTCTCGGGCGCTGAAACCGGCTATCAGAGGCTAGAGGAAGGGCACAGTGTAAACTGGTCTTTTTCCGGTTGCAACCTTACGCCAAGACGCAATGTTGCCAACGCACGGCTCAGCTTCTGTGCATGTTCAGCCTCATGTTCGTACCGGGCATAGTTCTACAATGTGACGACACCGATAGTCACACAAACGGACAGGTCGGCTTGTTGTGCGCTCCTGACCACACTCGCTGCTATACAACCCCCCACGCTTTGCCCATGGAGACCTTTCTTTCGGGTCTCTTTTCATACGTACGCCGTTTTGTAGACTTGTGTGTACAGCAGTGGAGGGGTTGGTCCTACCTACTGGTGTATGTAATGTACAGTTTTTGTCAGGCAATTTTCTAAATGTTCTCAAAGTCGAAATTTCAACCCAGGTTGTACTTTTGTTAAGATGTACAGCATATCCACTATGCTACAAGTCAGCGCTGACTTGTAGCATAGTGGATATGCTGTACACTTTTAACAAAACCATCATCCAAAGATCGGAGAAGCGCAAACAGACATTTAGTCTACTCCAAAACAAATGGTAACAATGAGTGCGTTGGCACAATTGTTTGCCTCGGGCAGTCCTACGGTTCGCGCCGACTCCGACCCTCCATCCCTTCATTGTTCCATCGAACCCGCCGGCACCCGTGCTGCTCTCTCTCCCTCTCTCTCCCCCCTTCTCGCTGTCTTTCTCCTGCAGAAAGACCCGGCTCTCTTCCCGGAGCGGAGGGTGCGGCCGTGGGTCGTGGATGACGATGCGGAGAGAAAGGTGTTGCTTTTGCGTCTCTACTGTTTACTGTGGAGCTGTGTGAGAGTTTGTTGTGTGTTTGGGACTCGCGTTACACGTACGTACCAGTTGCTTTTCGACGGCCCCATCCGTGTCATGTGGCAGGTGTCCCATAAAACCTTGTCAACCCATAGGATCCGTCGACTGCACGTGCGACGGACATGCATACGATGGCTCGCCAGCAATGCTATTGCGAGCGTTTACAGTAAATGCTCATGTGAAAATAGGGAATCGTCCTCGAGAGACTTTGGGGAGACGGTACCCTCTATGGAGGTCACCTCGACACGCATAGCTCCAAAGGTCAACGTGAAAAGAAAATCAAGACACATAGATAGGCCGATTAATCGAAAATCGGGGTCCGGTTGGGGGGGAAGGAGGTGATTTGGGGGGGGGGGGGGG